CGGCGGCCCGGCAGCCCTGCGCCGCGCGGAGCGCTCGCGAGAGCAGCCGCATGTCTGGCTGAGGCGGGACCACGAGCCCTTCACCGGGGCGTCACTGCCGTGCCGGAGACACCCGAACGCGCTCGGCCGCCTCCCTTCCGCGTTTCCGGAAGCTGCCGAAGGAGCTCGGCTGTGGCTTCGGGCGTGGTCGGGGATTTTCGGGGCTGCGCTGGCGGAAACGGACGAAGGCGTTCGGCTCCCTGCGGCGCGCGGGGCTCCGCCCTGGGCTGAGAGCGCCCTGATTGGCCAACGCTGTCAGGGCGGGGCGAGGGCGGTCCTGAGCGCCCCCTGCGGGCCCCGGAGGGGACGGCGAGGTGGGTTTTTGGTCACTGACGAAAGCGGTGCTCCTGGGCGAGAGGAGCGAGGGTGTTGAGCGTTTTACTCCGGCGCTTTAGTGCAACCTGCAAGGCCGCATAGGTGGAAGGGGGAAGTGGGAGCTGTGGCTTTGGATATCCGGGTTACTCTTACAGACCTTCTCCTATCCCTTCAGGAGAAGTTTTCAGAATTAAAGTACCCTGAGGAGGAACATGCAAATACTTGTGGAAGGATGCCTCCACGGCGAAAGCAGGTGCAAAATTAAGCACTTAGAGGAATTTTTAGAGGAAGAAAAAAAGGCAATTCAAAGTGCCTTCGCATCAGAAATTAGTGATGAGACTAAAAGACAACCTGTTCACAAAATAGAGATCTGGGCACAGTCTCTTATGTCAAAGTTTTAAATGTGAAGGCAGTGAGGATGCAGTCATTTAGTAACTCTGATGTAATGGATGCTGTGGGATGATCTGGACAAATTCCTTCTGATATGCAGATTGAGTGGCATAGTAACCTTGTTTCAGATAACATCATTAATGAGATTCTTGGCTAAACTCGAAACAGTTTGGAGAATATACTTTATTATAAAAATGTGCAACTATCCATAGAACTTTATTAGGCAGTATTTTATATTACAATCATTAGAGGAGTCAGAGTTGTGTCCTTGCCTTTCTTCTGTCCTTGTTCATGTCTTAATAGAACTAGGTAATCATACCTTACAACTAAATTACACTGATGGAATAACTGTAACTTCCATATGATACACAGTAAATTGTTATTCTCATGAATGTAATATCAAAAGCAAGAGTAATGCTTACACACTTAAGTAGTTTTGGTAGTCAGACATGAAAACTTGGAAGTTTTTGTTCCATGATGGAAATCCAAGGGCAGTACAGCCAACATGAGAATTTGTTATTCGGAATATTAAACATTTAAATGAATGGTTGGATAAAAATATTTTCCTATGATTGTAAATGCACCATTTTGGACAAGGTTTATTGGCAAAATACACTGTAACAGTAGTTTATAAGTAAAAATCACAGTCGAAGACCTTTGTGGAGAATGCAGTCTGTGTGACTAGGCTGGTGCTGATAAACAGCATTGCTTATGAAATCTCACCAACTGAAAGATTCCCTTGCACCCACTGCTGCCTGACCATGAAGCTCCTTGAAGCCTTTTTACAGAAGGGTAAAGGAAAAATGACCAAATTTGTGCATTTAATAAATGAAATATTTTAGTGTTCTGCGATAGTGAATCATATAATAGAATCATAGAATCAACTACGTTGGAAAAGACCTCTGAGATCTTCAAGTCCAACCCTCGATCCAACACCACTGTGGTTACTAGACCATGGCACTAAGCGCCAAATCCAGTCTCATCTTAAAAACCTCCAGGGACAGCAAATCCACCACCTCCCTGGGCAGCCCATTCCAAGGTCAAATTAGTCTCTATGTAAAACATTTCTTCCTGATATCCAACCTAAGCCTCCCCTGGCATAGTTTAACACCATGCCCTCTTGTCCTACTGCTGGTTGCCTGGGAGAAGAGACTGACGCCCACCTGGCTACAACCTCCTTTCAGGCAGTTGTAGAGAGTGAGGAGGTCTCCCCTGAGCCTCCTCTTCTCCAGGCTGAACAACCCCAGCTCTCTCAGCCTCTCCTTACAGGACTTGTGCTCGAGTCCCTTCACCAGCCTTAGTCACTCTTCTCTGGACCTGCTCCAGCACCTCAATGTCCTTCCTGAACTGAGGGGCCCAGAACTGGACACAGCACTCCAGGTGTGGCCTCACCGGTGCTGAGTACAGGGGAAGAATCACTTCCCTGGTCCTGCTGGTCACACTGTTCCTGATCCAGGCCAGGATGCCATTGGCCTTCTTGTTCACCTGGACACATTGCTGAGGCATGTTCAGCTTCCTGTCAATCCAAACTTCCAGGTCCCTTTCTTCCTGGCTGCTCTCCAACCACTCTATGCCTGGCCTGTAGCACTGCATGAGGTTGTTGTGGCCAAAGTGCAGGACCTGGCACTTGACCTTTTTGAACCTCATCCCATTGGAATCAGACCATCTCTCCAGCTTGTCCAGGTCTCTCTGAAGAGCTGTTCTGCCTTCCAAGCAGATCAACACTCCCCCCAGATGACACTTTTACTATTGTGTGAACCCTGTTTGTGAAGAAAAGTATGGAAAACTCAGGAAATTTAGAGTAAGGGGGGATTTAATGTAAAGCTTTTGAAAAGAAAAAAAAGTCAATCACTGATGGTCAGCCTTTGAACTGTATCCCTGTTTTAAACTGGAAGGATGGATTTTCACAGTGTGAGTTCACGGACAAAGGAAGGGGCAAAATCTGGGTTTTGGTGTAATGTTAAATAATATGCAGACAATGTTTCTGTTAGGTTTTTGTCAGATGATTTTGGCACCATTATTGTTTTGTTCTTTCATCCCACAAACATCACTTCTACTGATGGTAGAAGTATTCAGGACATACATGAACAGGGCTGATGTTCTGTCATTGCAAATGTACTCAGGGTATTGGTGAGCAGGACTGCACCTTTGTCACTGCATCCAAGTCTCCGAATGTGCTACCATGCTACCCTTCTCAAAAAAACAACAGCATTATGGGCGGAGAACAAAACCTATTTTGAAGTTGGTAGTTAGACAAGGGTCAAGTTAACTTGGAGCAGACGTTGCAGCTGCCGATGTGCAACCTTAATTTTTTGCTTTGTTGGATTTGATAAGGACTGTTAGGGCTCTGTTGGCTGGGTTAATGATGCCAGGAGCAGGCTCACAGACATTGTGGAGGTGAGAGGTTTGCTCCTGGTGGTATAGGAAGTTGCTAAAGTTAGAGATTTTCTTGTATCAGCTTTGATTGCTTTTGAATTGGTAATGTGGAATGCTTATATTAAATGGCTTTCACAAGCACTTACTGCATATAGAAGATGCAGGTTCCTGAGCAGGCTCAGGCTGTGATCAGTCCAGCAAGCTGCACTTATTGAAAAAGCTCCCCACCTATTTTTAGATACTGGTTCCACAGACAAATGCTCCTTGTGATTGAATTTGCTGCCTAGGAAAGCAAATTTGGCATCAGGTGACAGCTTAAACCCTGGCTGTTTAAAGTAGAGTGTAGTTGTCCTTTAGTTGTTTGGTTTAGATCACAGACACTTTAGCATGCCTTTAACTTAAAACAGAGCTATTACTAGCTTAAGTCTGGTTTGTGTCCACTCGCTGTTGTCCTGTGAATGGACCATGTGGACTCCACAGGTACTCAAGGGAGTTGTGGACAGGCTGTGGACCTGGAAGCACTATGGCCACACTTCCATGCTACTGAGCAGTCTGGAACTCAGTTGGTTAACCTGCAGCCCAGCCACCTGTGTCACTGACCTGTCTTTTCTCCATTATACCTTTAGTCTCCTTAATACCATATGTGCCTTCAGTCTAATTTGAATACTCATGATACTATCCGTGGGTTTTGCTTTATCCTGGGTATCCCAAACTACTTTCAGCTCAGTTATGTGAAAGCTCAGTTATGTAAACAGCTAGGTTGAACACATGCGTAACACAATATAGATTCATTTTTTTTTTGAAACCTAAAGGTCAGGTGCTCTGCTTATTTGTGGCTATTTGGCATTAGGCTCTATTTGACAGAAATATTAAACACTGGGCAAAAGTGACAAAAACATAACTCACTTTCTGTAGTGCACTTGCTATATACATTCTCATGAAAAACTGAAATACAAGTTAAATACATACTTATTTTATTCCAGGCTATAGAATAAGTGTATTTAGGCAGTTTTTCAAAGTGTATTGTACACTGCATGCACAATAAATCAGTTTAATAGCTTGACTGTTTTACAATTTGTGTTCAAAGAACTGTATGATAGGCAATGAAATCATGTTACAGCATGACTTATTGTCCATTTGGACTACATCCATTTTGTTATAAAGAAATTTTGGGAAATCCAAACTGATAAATGAAATATATATTAAACATTTTAATATCAGCATTTGCTCCAAGAAAGAAACTTCACATACTATATTCAATTTTTAAATCCCTCCAAATAGAGGATTTTAGACAATAAATTTTGAACGTGATTTCATTGCAGTATTACACTGAAAATTGGTGTAATATTTTTCAAAATGATGTCACAGTTTCCAAATACAGATTTTGGAATTTTATGCTAGAAATCAAGATAATATTTCAGGGCCTGCACATCTAGCTTTAAAACTGTCTTGAAAGGATGACTTGTTCATGTTGACAAGAACTTCTACCTGTGTGAAATATCTTATAAAGATAGCTAATGACTAGCAGGTCACCATCAAATAGAAACATTGAGAATATTCAAGTCTACATTTGTAAAGACTTATGCATGCAGTTTTGTCTCTTACACATTGTTTAGATGTGTGGACTAAATGTATTGTGCCTCAAACACCAACAACTCGAAATTACACTATGTAAATATATACATATTTGATGCTGTATATGTTTAGTACCACAGTAAATATAACTGTAATCAAATGATACTAGACATATGTAGGACCATAGTTAAATTCTAAGTAAGAAAAAAGTCAGAGAAATTCAGTATTTCACAGTAGAAGGAGGCAGTGCTTTCTCACTGAATTTTCCCCCCTCAGGACTTGTAAACATCATAGCTCTTATTCTATCAGTATAATAATTGAATATTTTATTCATAGTGGTAAATAGCTAACCAACATGAATAAAGTTGTCAAAACACAGTAACACTTTCAGACAAAACAGGTATTTATTAAAAGAAACATTTATAAATATTTTGTCTTGCATTTTAAACTACATTTTCATAAATAACAATATTTAAAAGTGCTGAATATGGTAGGATAGTCAGCAACGCCACTGTAAACAGATTTGTTTTCCACTTTGTAGATTTTTTTTTTCTAGATCCCATTTTGTCAAACACTACAACAGTTAAAATATTTGCATAGGGAATAGAGAATAGCCCTTTTAATCATCTCCTGAATTCTTTATAAATTACAAAACCAAATGAGTTTAAGAAACAGTTTGTTAAATTGTTCGTATATATATCCAAAAAAAGCACACAGTTTTCAAGTAAAAAGAATGACTAAAAAATTCCCCAAACTTGCTATTTGAAGCATGTTCAATAAATTAAGAAAATGAGAGGTAGTAAAACAAAGGGAAAAAAAGAAGCCCCAGAAGACAAACTAAGACCTGCATCCTCCCAGTTACTGTATCACTGCCTTGGCAGCAGCGGTTCCCACCAAAGAGGGCATGAGAGGCTGCCCGAGGGGACTAACTGGGTGGTTGGAGCCAACTGTGCTTGGGCTAGATTCCACTCAAGGACACAACTGCCAGATCTGCCAGTCCAATCAAAAGCAACAGGCTTATGCCATGTTTAGTCCTACGTAAGTGAGAAGAACCTTGCCTCTTAAGTCTTAGTATGGTATTAAATATATATATGTGTATATATATATATACACACATATGTACATATATGTATTTAGCAAGTATTCAAAGACATTTCTTGGTATATCTTTAGCAGTTTATGAGAGATGCTAATGCTCATTTTGCTTGTGTATGGTAGGTATGAGGATAGGTTTTTTTGAAGTTCCAAGTCACTGTCTCTTTAAACATCAAAATGTGTCCTGAAATGGGACATTTTTTTGATAAAAAGGCCAAGCAAACACCTATTAAAAACACCATGGCAGCCAAGTGATGGGAGTACTATGCTGCCTTACCTCTGATTAAGGGCTCAGTACAGGATTCTTTACCCAGGAAAGACACCCATTGCATTTCCATAGGCATTTTGCTTGGGTAAGATCTGTAGGTTTAGGAGCCCTTGAAGTTTGGTTTAGTATTACTCTCCAAACCCCTTGTTTTCAAGGAGTTATTCAAAATCAATGAGGCTAGAAGCTAAGTCTTCTTTAACCCGCCACCTCGTAAAACATTACTTTGTTTAAAAACATTTTTTACCAGATTTAGCTTTCAAAAAAAAATCTTACAGGACAGATGCAATTCATCAAAAGGTTCTAAAATGCTCTAAAATGCTACATGTAGGCAATCTTTTATTAAATTTCTTTATTCAAAAAACTAAATTATCAAGCTCTTTGTGTTGTTTTTTTGTTTTGTTTTGTTTTTTGCTGAAGTACATACATTATACAACAGTGTTAGAACTGGATAGCCAGTCTTTAATAAATCAATTACAGTATCTGACATCTGAAATGTACATTGAAAATCTTTGTTCTTTTAACAATTTAACAATATCAGCGCATAGATTTTGTCACCCAGATATGGATCCCTTTAAGTGATTTGTGCTTTTTTTCTTTTCTTTTTTTTTTTTTTGACATTGCAAACTCTGTAATGAAAATGCCATAGTTTTGGCAGTGAACAAACAGAGAAATCCTCCACTTGATTTATTTTAAATAAACAGTGATAAATAGCTCTTTTTCTCTGTACAGAAATATTGGCTTCAAAAAGTCAGCGTATTGTACTCAGTAGAGGATGTTGAGTAATGCTACACCTTAAAAATTGGCTTTTTTCAGTTAGTGATGTTAAAAAATGCAAGCCTCTTTCTGGTTTGCTGCAATTGTATCTATGTACCATAGGACTGTATTGCACAAAAAAAGTCCTTAAATACAGATATAATTTATGTTATTGGATTAAATATTGCAACAACTAAGTGGTAAGTGAAGCAGTTTTACCTTGCACATGCAATGTGAGGATACACAAGGAGAGACTGTTCATAAAACTACAAATACATCATTGCAATCTTGACTGCAGTAGGGTGAAAGGAGTGTGAAACAAATGTATTTTGGCAAATCCATTCTTCCCCTCCCACGCCATCTTGAGCAAGGAGGACCTTGGTAAAAATGTAGACAGAGATCATAATATGTATTTGTTTTCTTCACAGTAGCCTGAGTAGTGCTAAACTGTAGTTCTCCAGGAACCCAGCTCCAGATGTTATTAAACTACTTTTCTTCCATCCCACCCACCCAAAAAAAAGCAAGTTATTTTGTTTGAAAATTAAAACTAAGTTTCAGAAGTAGAGCCTGTAATACTTTCAACAAGAGACTTATAAATCTGAGAGTTCAAAAACCTTGGAAAAGAGTCTCTGTGCATTAGGGTGTATATCTGGAGCTGGGCATCTTCATACATGTGAGGGCTGGGATCCAACAAGTTTCTGTTGATCACTTCTCTCACCCGGGAATCAAGACTAACCTGAAGAAGATAAGAACAGAATAATATTAAACAACAATATTGGAAAAGCTGTAATATGTATCTTTTTTCTTCATGGCTCCGTTGAACATGCTGACTTTATCAGTTTCTTTAGGTGATGCTCTGTGCTTCTTTCAGAGCCATCACACAATTACTGTGTAATGCACTGAGACCATCAACCCTATTTCAGTTTTGACTTGATCTTAGCATCCATCTTAAAATCTGTACAATGAAACACAGTTGTATAACAGATTAAATACAGTGCAACTAAACTGAGCTCTGCAGTAACCTGAATTTTCCAAAATATGCTATTTTACCCTAAAAAAAATAATTTTTATGTACTTAAAATTATTTCTCTGAAATTAATGTTGAATTACCCTGAAATGCTTTTTTTGTGGTTTTGGTTTTTTCTTTTTTTTTCCTGAGCATTTGTGGTTAAGCTTTTAGAAGCTTTCTATTCATCATTCTCACCTGGCTGCCTACAGTTTTTTGCCATTTTTTTCAGGCACTACTCTTGTTCCTCACAAATTATTCAGAGTTTTTATAATTTTTAGTGTTAGTCTTCCCATTAATATTAACTATTTCAGGTTTATTTTCTTTTCAAGACTATTTAATATCTGGTAATTTATATTTTCAGGATATCATATGTCCATATTGAAGTTGTTAGCAAATTTCAGTTTTAGCTTCTCATTTACTTACAATTTGTAATGAACTGCTGTGTCTAGGCAGAAAAGGACATATTATGCTTGGGATGAATGCACAGATGATTTTAGCATATCATTTAGAAATTTGAGTGAATGTACAGCTTATCCACAAAATGCTCTAAAACCCAGCAAATTAATGCCTTCTGGATTAAATAAAATGACAGTAGCAGGAAAGCCCACTGGGACAAGCAAGGTTTACTCAGCTAAGAAGAAAAAGGCTAAAATATTGAGCAGAGAAAGGCCAAGCAGAGATCAGTTAAGCTACTGTGATTTACATCAAATTGCAATCTAGCCCTGCTACTCTGCAGCCATACAAAAAGACATTCATAGTGCCTGAAGGATTGAATTCAACCATGGAAAGCTCCATGTACTAAGATACCTTGACATATGAAGGACGGTAGCTAGGATGAAAACTGAGAACATGTTTGCACGTGTGAGTTTGTCTGCTTTCAGATGTGGTGAAGCAAAGTCTTTGAAACACACTGCTGTGGTATGATATGGTATGGTACAGTATGGCACTGAGAAGTAAATATACATTTTCAGTATATCTTCAGTACCAACTGTAGAATCTGGCATTGTTGGTTTGTTGGCATATTGGAAGATGTTACCGACACGGCAGACAAGCTCTTTCTCTTCCAATATTTGCTGTTACTTGGTTATCAGTCACAAAGTACAACTATGATGCAGATGAACTGCAAGTAAGCTGTTGCCTATTCATGCTAGGAAACTGTACCTATTACTCAAGTACACTATCTCTGCAGAACATTCATTACACCTGCCCTACACACGCTCTCCAAGCACTCATTGCTGCACCTGCAAGCAGCACCCCAGGATACAGCAAGCGTCCCTCCTGTCCAGCTCTCAGATGGATGGGCAGCGAGCGGTGCTCTGTCAGTGGCTATGAACAACCTCTTCGCTTTCCCACCCTGCTGCTTCCACTCCTGGTTCTGGCACAGCAGCCGTACAGCTACATGAATTAAGGAATCTGAAAGTGGCATTTCTTTTTTGGGCTGTTTTCTGATTGAATTCACTGTTTAAGTAAGGTATCTGTGCAAGCAGACTGGGCGGCACAGAAGGAACAAATGGACCAGTGGAATTGCTCAGCCAGTGACTGTGTGCAGGGATGTAGTGCTGAGGTATTTTCAAGTGGCAGTGTTGCATCCATGCATCTTAAGAATTTATTTGAATAGATTTCAATCCCAGATCATTGCATTTCTGCAGCACAGAAATGACACACTAAGATTTAAGCAATTCTCCCCCCAACACAGGCACATGTATTTATATAAAAAAAAAGTTTGTGCAGGTAACTAATTGGCTATTCAATATCATATATAACAGTTTGGATAAAAACAAAAACAAAAACAAAACCTCAAATTTGACAGGTTGGTGGGGTTTTGGGCCACTGAGCATAGTAAAAGTTAATAGCACTTATAGAATGAAAAAAAATTAATTATGGAACATTAATTTGCATTGTATTTCTTCAGTGACTCACTAAAGCCAGATGGCAAAACTAGCTGGAATTACTAAAGGGATTTTCTTGATAAACAGATGAATACAAGGTTGTCTGTTTAGACCACCAAGACCTTCTGCCTCAATAACTTCATCACTGAACGAGTGATGCTAAATATTTTAGCTCGTATGCCGAAAGGTAACATCTGCAATGGGATGCCTGGATGAAAAGAACTTTTCAGCTCCCATGCTGTTCTAAAGCACTGCAAACAGTTCTTGTTTGCCACCTAAGATTTCCAGTACGGGCAGGAAAAACTGGATTGATGAGATCTGCACACACACAGTGCACCAAGTTAGTGCACCCTTAGTTAGTGTTTGAATTTTAACTGCTGGTTGATCTTAGCTTAAAAAGACAGCTGAGCATTCATCACATGTATATGTAGTAAAGAAATTGTATTAGAAGAAAGACTCATTATTAGCTTGCTGTATTGATAGTAGTATCTCGCTCAAGGCAAAAGTAGACACTATGGCACAACAAAAGATAATGGAGCTATAAATTGCTGTTGGCTTCATTCATATGAATGAAGTTGCAAAGTATTCTTGAACGCAGTGCCAAAGTAAAATGTAGGAAGCAAGGTCCACAATGAGCATAAATTAGCCATTGAGTAGGAAGTCAAATGCAATGCACAGAGACAAGGCAAATGTGATAAAGGTACATTATGTGGCCTAAGAAAGACTCTTCCATAGTGCTTTTTTATTTATGTAACTCTGTATTCCAAAACATTGTTTGATAGGGCATGCTTTTTCTTTACTCTGGGTGAAGATAATTTCAAAATGTCTATTTCAATTAAAGGGTTGAAGAAAATCTAATCTAATTTCCTAGATATTATATGTTTCATTGGAGAAAGTATGTGGTCTTCATTTTTGGACTTTCACGTAGGAATAACAAGGGCAAATTTGGATTTTCTCCCAAACAGCTGTTGAAGCACATAACTCTATAAGGATTCTGATTTAAATTCCTTAATTTTGGTGCCTTTTCTCCAGAAATTCATTTGTATTACTTACCTCCTCTCTCTGGCAGATATGTGGCATTACTGAAGATGCATACCTATTTCTCAGCCTTCTCTTACTGGAGTTTCTTGAGTTTCTTCTTATAGAGAACTTAAATGTGTTGTGGTCAGTGATACTAAATGACCCAGGACCTGTGTCTCTACTTTTTCTGTCCCTTCCTTTCCTGATTTAATGTCCATACTAGGACTTTCATCTGACAGATCAGGCAGGCTTTCAGACTCCCATCCTGACAATTCAGGGTATAACATTTCTGCTCTGGAATAACAGAAAATACAAATGTAACATTTACAGATTTACCTCTTTTGGTGATAGTATAGAAATGTAATCTTCATATATAAGTCTTGCTTTTTCTTCAATAACTTTCTTGTTCTGTTCCTTCTTTAGATCTTCACATGCAAGCCAGAAAAGCAGGTTCTCCTCACTATACTCTGTTCTAAGAAACTCTCTGAAAAGGTTCCTCCCAGCTGGTGTTTTCATCATCTTGTCAAAATTCTGAGCCCAAGACAAAATTTCATCTGCAGTAGGGTTTTGGCTGCAAAAGCAAATATCATTACAAATACGCTTCTATTTTTGTAACACTGTTTTCATACATTTGTCCAAAAATTCTCCTTTCAACTGTACTTTAGTCCAAAGTGAAAACTGGAAGCAACAAGGCTTCATCAGTGACGGGGGAATTTTGTTCACCCTTCACTTGTGCATTCATTATCTCAATAGCCCACTAAACATGTTTTATGTTACGAGACATGCACTTGGCTTTCTACAAGTTTTCTGCTAGTGTTGTTAGCCATGCGACCCAAAGACAAAATCCCACAGCAGCACTGAATTCCTATCTCTGCAGATAAAGAAGATGTGATTGCAGGAAAGATGGAAATAGACCCTCTTTCATGAGGGTTTTAGATGACACCTGATGTTCCTGCCTGCTTCTGACGGTGACTGGCCAAAATTTGGCTGCCACACAATTTGGTTTAGGAAGAAAAAGAAAAATAAAAGCCTCTTGGCAGCCAAAAGCATACTAATGAGGCCCAACAAAATAGTAATTCAGAGAGCTTTTAAATTAGCATATTTCTCTGTGCTTGTGCCTAAGGGTTGCTAAGCTTCACTCTGTTTGGTGCTATTGACCTGAATGATGATCTATTGGCATGAGATGTGATGGATGTTGCTGGCACACTGGAAAGAGAAGAAATGGGAAAAAGTCCTTATTCCCATTTCCTGAAGGAAACTATTTGTGGCTTTTAACAGTGGATGCAGTGGATAAGTGAACAGAAGACTAACTTGCGTCACTAATCCATTAATGTACCACTGAATAGTTTGAGAAGGTAATAATCTGAATTACTTAACAATTAAATACAGTTTCAAACTTAATTCTGAGTGCCCACGCTTCCCTTCCTAATCCAACACAAGAGCTTTGCTGGCTGTTGTTAATAGTTTCTGTGTAATCATAATGCACAATAAGTGACATTTGTCTATATAATTTCTCTTCAAGTCCATTTATCAAGTCCTACTCTGCATGCAAGGCAGACTGGATGATGGGAAGTTATTTGTGATAAATGATAAATCAGAAAGAGTTTAACATTTAAACTATCCTGCAAAATAATTTTAACCTGAATGAAAAAGTTTAAACACAGATGTGAAGGTGAAAAATCTTCTCTCTGAGGAGAGTGCAAACAATCTGTTCAGGTGGATGTTGCTGACAAGCAACCTGTACTCCCTTACTGTCTGTTGGGAAGCTCTCTTCACTACAGTATTTTTTGGAAATTTATGACATTCTCCTCTCATAAAATACCATGATTAGCAATGAAGACAACGAGTTGTTTGGGTTGCTTTTACCATCAGACATGTCCTCTAAAGTTTTAATTTGCTTTTCCTGGGATAAGAGAACTCAGAGCCTCTGACAGTGTGTGTTCCACACACATCAAATACTGGCCCAAGCTTTAGACAGAAATAGAAGCTCAGACTTCCAGTGTGTTTAATCCAATTTTCAAGGTATGTGCTTTTTAGTTTATTTGAGTGAAACCATTGTCCAAGCTGTTTTATGAATGGCAGCCATGTTGAAAATCTGATTGTGAAGGGCACTTGCCCATTAGTTTTTCTTCTTGTTTGGATAAACAGAAGAAAATGATCTGACAGGTAGCAGAGGCTTTTTATAGAGATCCACATATGGAACCGTCCATGCACCTCCCATTCTTCCCCACAGTTCCTCCCCACAAATAAGAAACCATAAATAAACCTGACTTATGAATCAATGTCTCTGTTGTCATTTCATTGTCAGGACAGATTTTGCTTCTTTTTGCATAGATTTTTTTTGCAGGAAAAGCAATTAAAAGGACTTTCCCAAAGCACAAAACCCAAAGCAATTCTTAAAATTAGTTAAAGACAAAACATTTACTAGACGGCAGTTCGACCAACTTACCATTCTTCTATGACTTGGATACTCTCCAGTTTGGTCGTATGCGTTGGCCTTCCTGCATTGTCTCCTCTGTCTTCATTCCTAACAGTGAGGCTGCAATGTAGTACAACACTTTATTTTGTCTAGAGAAAGTTAATTTAAAACAATGACTATAGTAATGACAACTTTTAAAAGATATAAACCTATATAAAGTGTCATTTTTCACTCTTGCCTCTAAACTTTTGGAGAAAACTTTTTTATAATGACTTTTCCGCTGTGTTCTGATGAATATTAATTAACAGTTGCTATCAGCATGTGCATTTTTTTAGAAGCTCACAGTTTATCCGCTGAAAGGGAAAAACTTAGAGGTCACTTTTGGAGTGATTTCACTTAGTAAACTGAGAATATTAGTGACAATGAGGGTAGAATATCTGAACTGGACACTGATGGGGTTTTGGTGCCCCACCAGTTCTGGGTACTTTTTCATTCTTCATGAACATTCCCTTTTTTGTCTCCAGGATATGGTAACAGTAGATGGCTCAGATACAGAACTTAGTATGTGGCAGCTCCTTATGATTTCCTCCTCTGACCTAAATTTGTTTTCCATTCCAAAAAGTAAAACTTACAAGCCTTTGAACAGAAAGGGATCCATTATTGTCATATTACCACAAGCAAGGAAAAGAAAGACTTCCTTTACTTGAGGATGTTTTTAATGTTTTTTCTTCTTTTTCAAAGCTGCTAACTAGAATCACTTATTTTTCTGCAGATACCTTTTTAATCAGATTTGCTTTAGTGGTAGCGGTATCCTCTGTGTGTGTTCTCTGTGAATGTTCTGGAATGTAGTATTGCCAGCACAACCACAATTCCTGATAACTATTGAAATAAAGTATGTTTTGAGTGACATAGTTATTCATACAGGAAACCTGGTTCCAATAATTAAGCTTAAGAAGCGGAATGTAGTAAGGAGATGGAAATTTCCCTTTATCAGGTGTTCCCTATGTATCCAATTGAGAGAAAACAAGCAACCAAGCAAAAAATCCCCCTCCCAATCCCAAGAGAGCTCATCTTTTGAATATTGAGTATTCACCATACAATGATGCTCTCTGTCATCCTTGAGTGTTGCTACACAGAAATATGTTGGTAGCATAAAGCTTCTCCCTCTCCCACTAATCTGAAAAACTCAACACTCAGCTCTAAAAAGAAATCCCAGCTCTGAGACATTTTTAGTACAAAGAACCTTTCTTTCTAGACCCTCTGTATTTATAACTCTCTTCAACACTTTTTTCAAGCATTTGGCAGACTTAATAGGTAATCTCAAACACTCTTCTGAAAACTGGAAGTTTAGGCTTCCAGGTAAAGCAGAGTACATATTAAGACTTAAACATTACAAAGACGTACACTTTCAAACGAAGCTCTTTGATACTGGTTGCTCCTTCACTTACCTGCCAAGACCTTAGTTCAGGCCCTTGGTCCTACTTCCCCTGTTACAGCGTAGGAATGCAGCTCCAGTGCTGCTAAGGTGTTAGGGTGTCATCAACTGCTGCAGGAGAAACAACACATCCTGAACTCTGGGGTTGGCAGGTAAAAAGCCTTTCTATCTCCTCTGACCTGTTCGTCAGTCTAAAGAGGGAGCACCCAGGAAAGACAACAGGAGTTCCGTATACAGGAGGAGAAAAAAAAAGGGACCATCCACTTTCTTCTGTCTTGTAATCTTTAAGTCCCCACATGTAACTGCTTAGGGTCACCTTGCATCTGGCCAGAGTACAAAGCTGGGGTGAGGGAGAAGCAGGGAAGGCACAAAGCTGCTCTCTCTCCCTGCCTCCTTCCCTCCTTTGCAGTCCACAGGTAGAGCAGCATTTATCTTCTCTGCTGGGTGCAGAGAACTGAATGTCCTTTAGTTCCATGGAAGAATAACACCACGGAAGGAGGAAACAGCTTGTGTACATTGCACATGTAACAGGGTGTTCACCTAAGTCTGTCTAAAAGAGAATGAAGCTACTTGTTTTCCTTCACCACATGAGCAGCAGCTAAACTGTACTGATATAATTTACTTGTCAGGCAGTAGATGTCCAAGGATGTGGAGTCTTACTGGAAGTAGAAAGTGACTCATCTGAGAGCAGTCAGTCTATACTGGTAATTTAATTTATTGTCTGAGATCAAGTACTGTTTGTTTTGCTCACACAAAACCTTTGCTAGACTTAGGGAAACTATCATGAGTTGATGAAGGGGAAACAGTGAAGTAGTGAGTGGTGAGGAAAATGGACAAGAAAGCCATGTTAACTTCACTGCACTTTTTTTTTTTTTTTTTAATCAACGGGGTAACAGATAGGCATTATGCATTTTGATTTTCTACAGAACTACGCCTCAATAAAAAGTTCAGATGGTGGGTCTGGAACATAGTGTATCACTTTTCTGGTATCTAAACCAGAGTGAGAATATAAGATACACGCTTGGCACTGATTCCTTCATCTCAGCATTCATATGTGGAGTTTAATGGCTGAATTTAGTCAGAGTTGCAAAATAGGGAAGAGTCTACAGACAGAAGTGTTATACTGGGTTGGAACACTTTCTCACGTTTGGGTATTGCATTAAAAACTGTGCTAAATTTATAATGCATCTTGGCCTAAATTCTGCATTAGGTTTCCAGTGACAACCACTAGCACTACATTTCAACTTTTATTTATCTACATCTGTCAAGGCAGATCCATTCCACTAGATACATTACTTTTGATATGTTTTTCCTGTGAATGAAACCATCATTTTTATACAGAAGTACATTCAATTCAGACATGTTCTGTTTTCACTCAAGGAACTGGTTCATATTCTCTGAGAAAAAAAAATTAAATATTTACACATCTGAGACTGCAAAGCTAACTTGAATGCAGGCTTTAAATAACTGATCACAATAACAGACTGCTACCTTTTAACTCAAAATGACTACACTGCACTGCTCTTTCCTGTGTTGCTATCTTTAGCTAGAAATACACTGTCTGTTCACATTTCTCTGTGGAATTTAAGCAGTCCACAGCAGAAAAGGCATCCTGCATACCTGATGTCCCTGATGCCTTAATCCATCATTGAAGCTAGCTGATTATGTCAGAAGAATTATGCTGTATAGTGTAAAACTAAACAGACTAAAAGTAACAGGCTAAAGATTAACAAAATGATCTTACTTAGTTAAGGCTTTAAGAAGAGGAAGTTGCTGATATACCTTATCAAAAATAGATGAAATGGAAGTGTTCTAGAGAGACATCTGATGTAAATTAACATCTATGATGCTACTATTATTTATTAGTTGGAATACACCCAGCAGATATCTTTAAAATTTAGAGATGCAAATCAATAGAACACATGATAAAAGCACAACAAAACTACTAATGCCTTAAAAAGAGAGAGTTTGGGATGTCTAATGACTGAGTTTAAATGGCAAGCATAGCATGTGTTTGTTTTCTGTTCCTGTGGAAGGTTTGTTCTGCTCACTTGTATGCTGATTTTATTGCTCTGGAGAGTACAGTTAAAAGTACTTCAGTGGCCTGAGCTTGATGTACCTTTCAAATATATCTTGGGTTCCTGACTGCTACAAAACTAGTAAGTTTCTTTAACTACTGCAACAGTATTGTTATGAGAAATTTCTGTTTGGAGTCAGTGTATTTCCATTTTGCAACTTCACACACTTTATAAGTAAAAATTTTAATGATCAGAAACTACTTGAATAAGTATACAAATTGAATAAATGAACAAAAATAAGGTTAAACTGGTCCAGGTTCCTAGCTGATGTGTTTTTGGAGGAAATACTGGGATTCAGAAAACCAATCTTTATTTATTTAGCCACTATTATTTGGCTGTTAATATTCACGTTCAGCAATTAAATAATTGTTCTGTTGTGTAATTACTTAGCTAAATCAGTATTGCTGCACCCTGGCGCATGAGAAGGTAAAAAAGCCAAGCTAATTGGAAAAATCATCAGGAGAGTTGAACTAATTTAAGAGCAAACGTCTCACTGACTCTTCCTCCAGGTGTTTCCATCTGGTGGTTTTAGCTTTTTTGTAAGTCGCATCCCTACTGCTACACTTGTCTTCTACTGCCATTAAGAAACTGAAAGTAATTTAGAACTTGGACCTGATCTTTCATTCTCTGTATATCCAGTAAACAAATGGTATTTAATTGCTTCCCAAGGGCCAGGTTCTTATGTACCATTAGCCTAAATCTGGTGAATCAGTGAAACAGATATGTTATCAGTATACTGATATGTTATATGTTATACTGTTATCAGTATGGCAAGAAAACCATGCCATTGTGACAGGTGCCAAGGTTAATCTGCTCATGCATGGCTGACACCAGTTACTACTCACTCAGGTATTTTCTCAGTTATGGGTATCATATGCAGTATATCACCACAGTATTTTGCAATTATGTCTGGCATTGAAGACAATGTGACTATTAACACCTCTTGCCTTAGTAGTGGTTTTTATTGCTGTCATGAAAATAAGGAGTAGAAATCAAACTGGGACACTGCACTAGTTTGGTAGGCTATCGGGTGGCCATTCAGGAGATCTGCGCTCAGTTTCTACTTCTTGGCTGAAGTTTGTAGATGCTAGGCTCTGCTGGGCAGTGACTGCATTTGAGGCTGAACCTGTGTATGTCACTTAGTAGGGCCATGAGCCTTCAAGCCACCACTGTAACACAAAAACCATCCTTATTCCAGCCTAAAGGCCACATTAAGTCAATTGCACATACAATCTAAAGGCAGAATTTAGTTTTCAGGTGAAAATCAATATTCAGTTAAGATTCTCTGGGTAACAGATGTTCTGACATGTTTCCTTCACTGATCTACCCTTTGAAAGAATATATCTCACTGGCACAACACTTCACCCTATCCTACTCCTAAGAATTTTTATAATCATCAGATCAAGAGACACAATATTTTTAGTTTTCTTAAAAAAAAAACAACCCACAACTCTCCCCACCAAAAAATCCCAAGATGTAATTGTGATTTTAAAATTCCACTGGGTAGATGATGTAAAATGACCATTCCCCAAAAGTGTTGACAAACACAAGTCAAATTTACCAAACAGATTCAGATAGGAAATAATTTTTCATGACTGTTTGGAGGA